AATGTTCCGATTTAAGATTGCGAAATAACGTCTTGCTTATGTCTTCCACAAGTAACTCTGCAGCATCGCAATTTGTCGAGTCATTAGATTAATTGGAAGCAGAAAAGATGAAGAATATGCAACCGCCTTCGCTGGGAATCGAACCGCGGATTTCTGGAATACCGACTCAGCGTGCTACCGTTACACCACGAAGGCACGCTAGGAAAGTGGGAGAAATACCTTATTGTTCGCTTACGCGTCAAATTATTACGCTATCAGCGTATCAAGGACTCTAAAGAGACTACTATATTCTAAAAAATTCATTTATTTAATAAAACATCACTCAGGTATATAACATACAATTAATCTTCACTAAGCCTAACTAACCACAGAAACATGTTTACCTAATTCTAAGAATTGCCCTGTTGCCACTCTCATGAAACCAAACTAACAACAATTATTAGTGGCCAAAAGGTAAAAGTAATAAGTATTGTAAAATTATAAGTATAAAATTAAAGTAAAGTAAATACAAAATACAAACTACATTGTTTTGAAATCCAACATCCTCCCACCTTAAGTTGTTGGGAAACAACTTAACCTATTAGAAATATTAAAGAAAAACTTGAATGGAAAAACATAAAAGAACTGAATTAAAGTCCAAACATTTATAAAGTCTATAAGTGTAGTCTTTGGATAGGCTTCACTTCTCTTCTACTCCTGGTTTTTATAGATTTAATATCTTTTTGGCTGTTTTCCACTGAATACCCTTCAACCCTAGCTTGTTCAAATCTTTCGTTTTTTAGATCTTCGAACCAATTACATGAAAGTTCTAAAGGAAAAATTCTTTGTACAGGACGTAAAAGTTTCCTATTTGTGGTTTTCAATCGTACCAATCTAATGACATTGTCTCTTCCAGGTAGCAATTCTGTAACAACGGCTAATGGCCACTCAGCACATTTAACATTATCACTTCTAACAAGAACTACGTCTCCAAGTTTGATATTTTGCTCATGCTTCTTCGGATCATGTCTTTGAATCGAAAGTCCTAGGTATTCAGATCTGAATCTTTTTCGTATATCCGTGATTAGATGTTGACGATATTTTAATCTCTTGTTGAGGGAATGCTGATCAATCTCATCCAAATCAGGAACGCCTGACTTTCGGAAATCTTGCAAAAATGAGTTAGGAGATAAAGGAACAAGTTCAGACTCCTTTTCTGAAACATAGGTAAGTGGACGAGAGTTAATAACAAATTCAGCATCACACAATACCGTTGTCATTTCTTCAAAAGACAGCAGAGATTTCCCTAAAACTCTTCTAAGAATTTGTTTCATCAAGCCAACTAATCGCTTCCAAAAACCGCTCCACGAAGAGGCAGTTGGGGGATTGAAAAACCATTGAATTTTCTTAGTGGTGGTGTATTGAGCAACGACATTCCAATCAACGAGTTTCAAACAATTTGATGCTCCAACAAAGTTGCTTCCGTTGTCACAATAAACTACAGAAGGACGACCTCTGCGGGCTATAAACCGACGGAAACTCTGGAGAAAAGCCTCTGTAGACAGTGAGGAACTGAGTTCAAAATGCACAGCTCTATACACAGCACACGTATATAGGCAAATCCAAGCCTTTCCTTCTCCTTTTAAATACACAGGTCCAGCCATATCAATTCCAATAATTTCAAAAATAGATGCATCTCTTACGCGATTTTCTGGTAATGCAGATATCGGTGCTGTTAAATTTCTCTTTGCGTACCTTAAACAAGTAACACATTTGGATAAAAGAGATCTAATGACTTTTTTCGCGTTTAAAATCCAATAATGTTCTCTTAGAATATTCAACAATATTTGAGAACCAGCATGAGAGTTCTTCTGGTGTTCTGTTGTAATTAACCTTTTGACAGCCTGATGTTCTCCCGGTAAAACAAAAGGATGTTTAAAGTTTTCTGTATCCTTCCGAAATGTAATTTTTGTTCGCAGTCTAATAATTCCTTCTTCGTCCTTATATGTTGCCAAAGATTCTAATTTTCTTTTGTTTAAATGATCAGAAAAGTATTCGTTTTGTATTAATAATATGACTTTCTTTTATGCATTTTTGACTTTTCGTTGGATAACTCTCCAATAATTCGCGAAGACTTTGCATTTAGACAATTAAAGATAAATCTTTTTATCCAAGCACTCAACCGTATCACTTTGTCATAGCTTGAAAAATAATAATAGTACCAACTTGATCCGTAATGTCTGCATCCATTTTTCTTTTCATAAGTTTTGCAGCTACAAGTATTTGAGTAACTTAGGGAACAAATAGAAGAATGCCCATCAGATTTTGTTTTTCTCTTTTCCTTAGCTATAGAATGTTCATCGAAATTTTGTTCTGTGATGGGCCAGTTAGAAGAAGGTTCTAATAACCAAGTAGAACCCTCCCACCATTTGCTTGATAACAGTTGTCTAGCCGAACATCCTCGAGAAGGAAAATCAGCTGGATTCTGGATCCCAGGAAGATGTTTCCATGCAAGAGGATCCGTTAAACTATTTATCTCATTCACTCTGTTCTTCACAAATACCGTCCAGGTTTCCTTACGTTCAATCCACCCTAAAACAACCGTTGAGTCAGTCCAATAATGCTATTCAACATGTTTTCATTGAAGGCCTTCCACAACAGATGCACACAAACGAGCTCACACCATAGCAGCCATCAGCTCCAATCGAGGGATAGTCATGGGTTTTACAGAAGCCTCTCTAGCTTTGGCTGCTAAGAGATGAACTTGGACATTCTCCGATGTCTCCACACGAATGTAAACAACTGCTGCGAAGGCCGAATGACTAGCATCACAAAATGTATGCAGAGAAATGTTTTGTCTACTTGGATCAATTGAAAAACACCCTGATATGGTCACTTCCTTCAGCAAATGAACTTCTGAACTTCCAGCCCATAAATTCTTCTTTTATATTAGTGTTGACTTCAGAGTCCCAAGGTATGTTTTCTTTCCACATCTTTTGCAGTAACAATTTGGGTATCAGCAAAACAGGACATAATAAACCAACTGGATCGAACACCTTATGAGTGACAGAAAGAATTATTCTTTTGGTCAAAGTTTCGAATTTATAGGTGTCTAACCAGTCCAGATTTATCATCAGCGTATCCTTGTTTCTATCCCATAAAAGTCCTAATACAGAAGTAAATGGTTCAGGACCATTATCATTAGTGTACTGCCAGCCTCTCAAATTGAATTTTCCCTCACTCAGTATGGCTTGAGACGTTTCAATGAAGGGTAATATATCACATGTATCATTTAAGCTCGTTACTAAATTATCAACATAGAAACTCGAAATAAGAATCTTAACATAATCTTGATTATATCTGGCATCATTCAAAGATTTTCCCAAATGATAATCTAAAACTGCTCCCAAAAGAAAAGGGCTGCTCTTTACACCAAAGACCAATCTGTTGTGTTGCATTACCTTAATTTCTTTACAGTCGCTATCATTCCACCAGAAGAATCTCAAATAGTTTCGTTCTTCCAACCGAACGCTGACTTGCAAAAAGGCCTTTTCAATATCTGCAACAACCCCATATTTAAATTCTCTAAATCTCAGAAGGAGACTTGGAATTAGTTCTAATAAATTGGGACCGGATTCTAGACACTGGTTCAAAGATGAAGATCCAATTTGCCTAGCAGACGCATCGAACACTGGACGTACTTTGGTTGTACCATGTTCCTTGACTACAGGTCGGTGAGGAAGAAAGTGCTGGTGTGGATCATGCACATCTGTGACATCCTCTATTATTCCCAATTCAGGTCCATTGCTTAAAGACATCATCATAGGTATCAAATAATTTTTCTGAATTCAGCTTCTTTGTTGAGACTTGAAGTCTTCTTATCGCTATATCTTTGTTGGTTGGGAGAGGCAAATGATCGTCTTTCCACGCTAAGGCAACTTCGTATCGCCCATCATCATTGATTCGTAGAGTCTCTTGAAAATATTTCTTCGTAAGAAATTCCTTTTCCTTTCGTGATTTTACTTCGACTGGATCAGATATTCCTCAGATGTCTAAGGAAAAAGGTCAGAAATATTGGCATCTTTCACAAACATTGTTACAATCGTCATCGCCGTATCTTCCCTTTCAGCATTCACTGATGTTTTACCAATCAATGTTTACCAGGTATACCAGGTAAGTTTCTTTGGCTACAATACCACTAGAAAATACTATTTTTCTGTCGGTCAAAAGTCGACCAGCCACATCTGCACCAATTAAAAGATCAGTAGGGCCTGATGAATCTTCAGTGTCATAAAAAGGCCTTTTATAAAAGGTATATTCATGGACCTGAGCTCTTTAATACATGGCCCATTTAAGGCAGAAGGTACAGCATCACAGATTGTATCTTGCTCATAAATATCAAAAGTACAAGTAAAATTATCGTCTAAACTCTTTAGCTTAATTTTGTAGACATTATGCACATTTTCAGGTGTTCGTTCTCCTCCAAAAAGGGCGTGGCTTAAAATCTGTTGTCTAGAAGGTATCAGGCCTAGAGAAGAAATTAAATCCTTCCTTAAATACGATTTTTGAGATCTTGTGTCATATAAAGCTCGAACACAAAGTGTACAATTATTTCCAGTTATTTTTACTTTCAGGGTTTGCAAAAGTACTTGTGGTGTGTTGCTAGCGCTAGAAAGATTTACAGAATTTTCTTCCTTGCTAGTTTCTTTTTCATCGCTGTTTAACATAGGCTTCTTAATATTTGTTTTATTTTTAAGCAACTCTAAACACAAAATTGCGCTGTGATTTTTATGGCAAATTGCACATTTAATAGAACTCCCGCATTTATTTGCACAATGACCAGCCTTTAAACAGCGAAAGTAGTGCCCTTTATCTTTTAAAAGTTTTTGCCTCTCTGAAAATGTCATTTTTTGAGCCTTAAAACAATTAAATGAATCATGTTTTCCACTGCAAAACACGCACTTCTTAGCGGGAAAATCAGTACTCAACAAACTTGCTGCCGTTGATGGTCGATCGTGAACAGTTTTAATAGATTTAATCCCACAGGTCACTTCGTTCTTCAAACCAAAACCAGCCATAGCTAAACTTATGCGTTCTTCGGATTCTACTTCTGATTTCAAAAATTTTAATAAACTCTCCAGTCTGCATTTTGGGTCTGGACCATGGTCAACATTTGCACTTCTTTGATAGGCTCTTAAAAAATCCTCAGGCAAGCAAGATTCAACTAAAGGATAAAGTAATGCAGCACTTTTATCTGTAATGACGCCAAGGGTTTCCAGAGCCCGAATTTGTCGTTCCAAATTATCATATAATGCACATAAGTTATTACAGGAATTACAAGAACTTGCATTTCTCAGGACCAATTTCAACAATTCTCTCACATAAACTTCCACTTGCAAGTCGTTTCGACCAAAACGAGTCTTCAAACATTCTATGGCCTTGGGATGCAGATGTAGCAGATGTAGGGGGAGAACTTTCTATAACCTCCCTTGCACGCGAACCCTCAACAGTTGCTTGTAATCAATATTGAAATTTATCACTATCAGAAATCGTAGTATCTTTGTCAATTTTTTCAAATTGACTCAAAAAAAAAAAAAAAAAAAAAAAAAAAAAAAATCCCTTAATTTCACCATCAAATTTTCGTAATTCAAGCTTTGGAAGTTTAAATGTACGTTTACATACATTCTCATTAACAGATTCATTCAAAATTAAATTTGAAGTACTTACATTTTGTAGATTCTGAAGAATATCTTTCACTTTAGTTTCGATTCTAACGGCCTTGTCACGATAATCTTCAATAATATCGAATTCTGTTTCAATTTCGTTTTCGGACATTATGCTAAGTTAACGTATGTGCGTATCTTCCAAACGTTGAGCTTTCGAAACAAAAACATTAAGTTCCGACTGTAATTCAGAAGAATTTATATCACTTTTCTTTAAAATTTCTTCTAAAACATTGAAGGCTTTTGTAAAAGCAGCTCTGTAAATTTTCTTTTCAAGTTTAATAGCTTCCATTTTTATACTTTAGAATTCCAAACCAACGTCTCTTATGTCCCACTGAGGGTACCACTAAAATGTTCGCTTACGCGTCAAATTATTACGCTACCAGCGTATCAAGGACACTAAAAAGACTACTATATTCTAAAGTATTCATTTATTTAATAAAACATCACTCAGGTATATAACATACAATTCACTAAGCCTAACTAACTACAGAAACATGTTTACCTAATTCTAAGAATTGCTCTGTTGCCACTCTCATGAAACCAAACTAACAACAATTATTAGTAGCCAAAAGGTAAAATTAATAAGTATTGTAAAATTATAAGTATAAAATAAAAGTAAATACAAAATACAAACTACATTGTTTTGAAATCCAACACTTATAACTTTATGAAACTCGTAATTACTTTCCTGTATATCTGCCATTTGGAGCTAATGCATAGCGTTCAATTTCCTATTCAAGTTATTTTGTTATTTTTCTTTAAATTCGGACTTTTTTGGAACTTGCGATGATACTGTCATACACAACAGCGATGTTTTCAACAGACCGGTTGATCGAGAGTGTGGTGATGAAGAGTGAGTTTGCTGTCGAGCGTGTGCCAGATTTCTTCATCACTCTGCGAACTATTTCATTAGCTGTACTTACACCTTCAAGGATTGC